TTTTTCCTGCCCTTCCCTGTCAATTAATGAGAAAAGAAACTGCATTCAAAATAATTTGCTTCTGCATTTCCCATGGGCATCCTATTGGCCACTGTGAAAACAGGATGCCGAACCAAAAGAGCCTTTGGTTTGATCCAGTAGGCCTAGTCTCATATTCTTATGGGATTCTGAGCCAGCAAATTCCTTAAAAAAAAAAAGCCTTAAAATGTATGCGATCAAACAAATTATACATATTCCAAACTCAAAATTAAAATATTGAGAGAACCATGGAAACTACTTTTCAGAAAGAATGGCCAGAACAAAAGTATCCCAAACCAGCAAGCAGAACTGAACAAATATTTACCAGAAATCTATTAGATACCTGCATATTTTGCAGATGGGATGCGGGTGGCGCTGTGGGTTAAACCACAGAGCCTAGGACTTGCCGATCAGAAGGTCGGCGGTTCGAATCCCCATGATGGGGTGAGCTCCCGTTGCTCGGTCCCTGCTCCTGCCCACCTAGCAGTTCAAAAGGACGTCAAGTGCAAGTAGATAAATAGGTACTGCTTTGGCGGGAAGGTAAATGGCGTTTCCGTGCGCTGCTCTGGTTCGCCAGAAGCAGCTTAGTCATGCTGGCCACATGACCCAGAAGCTGTACGCCTGCTCCCTTGGCCAATAAAGCGAGATGAGCGCCGCAACTCCAGAGTCGGCCACGACTGGACCTAACGGTCAGGGGTCCCTTTACCTTTACCTTATATTTTGTAGACTTGACCACAAAGCATTTTATTGAACAATGGCTACTTCTTCAGTGTAGCCAGGCCTGTCAAAGAATACATTTTTCTAAGTTTTGCATGTAACAGATTCTGTATACTCTGCATGATTTTGTGCGGCAGGAGTTAAGTAAAATATAAGGATACTTCAGAGTATTTGCTTGCTTATGGGATGAGAAATACCCACTCCATTTAGGGATTTAAATACTGGTTTCAGAGGAATCAAAAACTTCAAGCAGCACTTAAGAATATTCTCTTTCCCCCCTTTTTTTCTCCCTTGCAACAATAACCTCTGTTGACTTAGGATATAATCCCATTCCTAGGTGGAATCTACACACATATTAAAAAAAAGTTCTGAAAAAAGCTTTTCATCCAAGCACATAATAAACAGTAAGACAATCTAGGGATACTCATCAAAGAAAGTTCTCTTGGCAGAGGTTCTGGTGCTATACATAGAAAATATGTGGAGCAGATCTTTCACCTGGACCACAGTGTGCACCTGTAGCATACCTGTTATATAGATGTAAAGCAGTTATGTCCTTTGCTATGACCAGAGAGGGCGTACTCCCTAGGAATTTGAATGAAACTGAGGTATAGGCAGGGATCAGAAGCATTTCTGGAATGTTATCTTATTTTTTATCTCATTTTTTTGTTTGTTTAAAGAAAAGCACATTTGCTAAAATGCTTACATTAGTATGATTTTTGGTGCTCTCTTTCTGAGCTAAGCACTTCCCTGAGACATCTCGTTCTCAACTTTATTTACAGAGAAAGATGAACTTCAGGCCGTTTGGCGCAGCTTTGTTGAAAGAGTCTTCCTCTTACAGCATCGCTCCAAATGGTTTGTTTGGACTGTTTCAGAGGTGACATCCAATACGTAAGATTCCCAGCCTGACAAGTGGGAAAACGGATTATCAAAGGAAGCGAAGTATAGAAACAGGAATATACAGTTCCATGGCATTTGACATCATTCTCTCCAGAGTAGGCAAATGGAATTGGAACATGTTACGGAGCAGTCAGCCATTAGCTTTTCTGCATGGTCACATCGGTGATGTGGGGAGAGGATGATAGGATCAGCCAGCCTCCCCTAATGTGGTACCCACCAGATATATTGGGGATTTTAGAGGGGGACACCATGTTGTGCAAGGCCGGGCTAGGCTCACCTACTGTCCTCAAAACTTATCTCCCACTTCTTCAGACATAAGGTGTCAGTTTGCATTTCTTGGTACAGAAAGTATTGTTTGGACGTGTAAAGAGCCAGTGTGTTGTAGTGGTTAAGAGCGGTGGACTCGTAATCTGGTGAAACCGGGTTCGCTTCCATGCTCCTCCGCATGCAGCTGCTGGGTGACCTTGGGCTAGTCACACTTCTCTGAAGTCTCTCAGCCTCACTCACCTCACAGAGTGTTTGTTGTGGGGGAGGAAGGGAAAGGAGATTGTTAGCCGCTTTGAGACTCCTTAGGGTAGTGATAAAGCGGGATATCAAATCCAAACTCTTCTTCGTCTTCTTCTTTCCCATTCTAATTAATTCAAGAGGTTTCTGGAAGCTTCTCTGTGTGAAAGAAACTGGAAGTTTCTAGCTGACACGCAAGTTTCTATTCTGCCTAGAATCAAGCAGAAGGTTCATGATGTTTGGATTATTCCTTCAGAGAAGCTGAGTACAGCTGGCTTAAACTGGTTCTGTTATCAGGGACTTCCGGGGTGGCGCCATCGGTAATGGCGGATTCCCTCTGATCCGGAGGGACTGGCTCCACGGAAAATGGGTCTTTCCCGCTACGGCGAAGTGGGGACCCTTTGAAAAATCACAGGCGGATGAAGCCTGTGACCATGGGACTCGGCGGGCACCTTTCACGCCCCCCCAACTCGTAAAGAAACCCAGTCACGGGCTCCGGAGCGAAGAGGGGCAAGTGGCGCGGTGCTGAGAGGGGCAAGTGGCGCGGTGCTGAGGATTAACTTTCATCATCTAAAATTGTTGAACCCCTCTCGGAAGCAGGAGAAGAGGGGGGATTTTTTCCGGACTGTTTAAACCTGCAGAAGAGAGTGTAAAGAAAAGTAATTTTCCACCGTCTTGATCCTGGGAGCGGGGTGTCAAGACTGACTTTTTGGGAAGCTCATTGACTATAGACAAACGTCTTTGACAGACAGTTAAAAGAAGAGAAACATAGTGATTCCATTGTTCTCCTTCGCATTTTAAAGGAACAAATATTGACAAAATATCTGAAAAAGGAAACTTTGTTGTTAGATCTGCCTTTAAAAGAAAAGAAAAGATGGATACAAATAGAAGTTCTTCCCCTAGAGGGAGCCTGTGAAACTGTTACTAAATCTGAACCGGGGAGCTCTGCAGCTGCAACAGATTAAGATCGTGGGAATAGACTTCTGACCTTCATAACAATGTATTCAGAAGCTCTGGTGCGTGCTTTCTGTAAAACAAGTGCCCTATTGGAACAGTTACATGAGAAGACGGACTTGACTGCTGCGATTAGAAATTTTGGACAGGTTGTGGGTAATTATATAGAATCCACCCAGGAATCAACTCAGGAGTGTGCTCTGACAGATCAGAGGAGGGAAGAGGATGTTGCTGGACCTCAGGTGGCAGAGATGGAGGGAGTTGTGGCCCAGCAGGAACATGAGTTGTTGGATCTGACAAATGAACTTGGAAAAAGCCAGATTTGGAGAGATACAGTTTTGCTTGGTTTGGAAATGGGGGGTTGGATAGACCCCCCTATGCAGGGATGTTTTGACTCTTCAAGTCTGGCAATGGGCTGTGAGATGTTTGGGGATGTGGTGGTTCTTAATTCTGGAGGGACTTTGAAATATGTTTTTAAATACCACATGGAGTTTAGTGTGGAATATGGAAAAGGGGCTGATTTGTCAAGAAGGGACAAAAATATTGTCAAGCTGGAGTTTCCATGAGTAAAAGGAGCAGGAGACAAAGTAAAGTACAGGTATAAATATGAAGAAGAGCTGCGGAAGGGACATGGAAGAGACTTAAGGGCCTCGGACATAAGATTACCAGGTTAATGAGCTAGATTGATGGGATAGAAAGGACTGACAAAACCCGGGACCAGGAGGAAGAGACGTTGGATGAAGATTGGAAGAAAGTTTTTTAAACAAAATTATTAGGATTGTTTCATAAAATTGATGAATGTTAGAAAAATGTTGGAACGAAATTATTTGGCTTTAGCAGAAATGTTAAAAGAATTATGTAAGAATATGTTATGGTTATGAGAAATTGGTATAAATAAGATCTAAGTTTTAAGTTTTAGGGTCTTTTATAGTAAGATAAGGTTAAAATAGATTAAGGTAATTTAAGGACAGAATACTATGAGAAAGGGAAAGGATTTGCTGTGATAATTAACAACTAGAATACAAAAAAAGGGAGGAGTGAGGAGGTGGATGAAATAAGATAATGACAGTTAAGAATTTGGGAATATTGGATTTGTTTTTAAATTTTTGTGGTTTATCTTTGCTTTTTGATTGTGTTGTGTTATGTGTTTTGTTGTTGTTATTTTTTGATTTTGATCTTTATTAATTCATATTGTTTAATTGTGGATTGTGGCTTGTTTTTCTTTTGTTTTGTTTTTTTACTTCTTTTTCTCTTTGTCTTTTCTGTAACTTTAAAATTCTTAATAAATATCATTTAAAAAAAAAATAAACTGGTTCTGTCAAGGTCATGCTGACTATAATAAGTTGAGGTGAAACAGGAAGATGCTCCTCCTCCTCAGGCATCCAACTCACCTCCACCATTGCCCCTCTACCTAAGCCTTGCTTACCAGGGTCGCCCAGCTGCAGCCTCTAGGTTCTGGCAACGTCTGATGAGAAGCCTCTGAGATCTCAACAGAATCCGGAAGTCACAGCCACTTCTGCTTGCTTCTTCAGTGGGGAGGGGTAGGGGGATGAAGAGGGTGCTTCTCCACCACAGTAGTACGGAGAAGCAGTGGCAACAGCAAGATTTAATGAGAGTTCCATGAGATCTCGCTGGAAGCCATCGCCACTTTTCCTTGCTTCTCTGGCAGCGGCAGGGGTGGGCAAGTGGGATTCTACAGTCCAAGGCAGCTGCCTTAGTCCACCTAATGAGTGGTCAGATGTTTTAGCCCCTAGGAGACCCTGCTTCAATGGACCAGTGAAATATCTCACACAGAGATGCATGCACACAGTTCATGCAATATTGGAATATTCTTTTGATCATAGAATCCAAATTGTAGAGCTGGAAGGAACTATGAGGGTGATTCAGCCCCCTGCAATGCAGGAATCTTTTGCCCAACGTGGGGCTCAAATTCATGACCCTGAGATTAAGAATCTCATGCTCTACTGACTGAGCTACCCCAATTTTCACTTCACCCATCATTCAGGGAGATATGCTGCAAAAGAAAAGAATATATATATATGTTGTTGCTGTTGTTTAGTCGTGTCCGATTCTTCGTGACCCCATGGACCAGAGGACGCCAGGCACTCCTGTCTTCCACTGCCTCCCGCAGTTTAGTCAAACTCATGTACACATTACGCAGCTCAATAACTTCATTGCAGAATTCAGAGAAGTGTAGCTTCAGAAGGATGGCTGTTTTTCAATTCTGGCATTGTTTCAGAAAGTGTGAATTAGGTTGGTTTGCCTTAAAATGAAAACTAAATCAAATTTCTCCTCCCTCCCTAATGTCACATGATTCTTAAGGACTTATAGATCAACCCTTTTCTCTCTCTCCAGCCTTCTCTGCTTTCAGAGATTGACATACAGTGCAATGTAGAAACTAAGCAAGCCATGGCTGTGTTCAGCAAATACCTCTGACCTTGAGTTCTATAAATTAGCGAACAGAGAAGGCCTGTTCTTACTCTTATAATCAGACATAATTTTGACAAACTGCTTCCATATACTTGCTAATGCTTTTCTAAGCTACTCTACATCATTTCAGCACTCGCGTCTTTGTATGAAAGCTTTATTGTCCTCTGTTAACCTATCTGCCACTTCTCCCCTTTCTCAGTTCTGATTTCTGCAAAGACTTTTGTGAGCTTCTGTTTGAAAGGCTCACCTGCAGAAGACCTTGGAACTGCAAACATGGAAGTGGGGCTGATTCAGCTTCAATGCGAGCGTTAAAATCACTTGTAACATGCCTACAGAGGCAGCCTTCATTTCAACCTCATTTCTTTCACCAACTGCAAAAGCAACCATCCCAGAAGAGGAACCAGCGACTGTACTGTAGCTTTACCTAATGCCTGAACATTCATTTTATTTATCGTAGCAAGAAAGAAAGGTGACTGGCGTCTTTTTGGAGAAAATCTTGTGAATGAATCAAAAATATGGATGCAACTGTAGAGATTTGTAAAAATATTGACTACAGCTGAAAGAGCGTGATATATAGCTCAAGCTGAGGTCACGTCCGATTAAAGTTTTGCTCATTTACTTGTGCAGATGGAACTGAAACAGTTGCCAGTTCACAAACTAAGGGGTTTTATTTCTCAAATGGGGGGGGGCGAGTTGGAGGATTAATCAAAATGGTACGTGCAATTTGAGTGGTTGTCAAATACAGTCGTACCTTGGAGGTCAAGCGGAATCTGTTCCGGAAGTCCGTTCGACTTCCAAAAAGTTCGGAAACCAAAGCGTGGCTTCTGATTGGCTGCAGGAAGCTCCTACAGCCAATCAGAAGCCACGGAAGGCCCATCAGATGTTCGGCTTCCAAAAATAGTTTGCAAACCAGAACACTCACTTCCAGGTTGGCGGCGTTCGGAAGCCGAACGCTTGAGAACTAAGCTGTTTGAAAACCAAGGTACGGCTGTACCTACAATAGACTGATTGGCTATTTTAGATGAAGATAAGCAGTGCTATCATTGGATATCTAAATGAACTTGCTTTTGACTCAAGTTCCACTTTCCTTCTTTGCCATAAAGGTAAAGGTAAAGGGACCCCTGACCATTAGGTCTAGTCGTGACCGACTCTGGGGTTGCGGCACTCATCTCGCTTTATTGGCTGAGGGAGCCGGCGTACAGCTTCCGGGTCATGTGGCCAGCATGACTAAGCCGCTTCTGGAGAACCAGAGCAGCGTACGGAAACACTGTTTACCTTCCCGCCAAAGCAGTACCTATTTATCTACTTGCACTTTGACGTGCTTTCAAACTGCTAGGTGGGCAGGAGCTGGGACTGAGCAACAGGAGCTCACCCCGTTGCGGGGATTTGAACTGCTGACCTTCTGATCGGCAAGTCCTAGGCTCTGTGGTTTAACCCACAGCACCACCCGCGTCCCGCGTTCTTTGCCATACACACACTCAAACTGGGAATTAGGCAGCAGAAGCAGAACCCAATACACAGGGTATGTGTATGAAGTCTCAGTCAGATAATCCATGATATTCCAAATGGGGAATATCACTTTGTGCACCGTTTTTAGAGCCTGAGACTCTTAATCTAGGAACGTGGGTTCGAGCCCCACATTCGGCAAAAGATTCCTGCATTGCAGGCGGTTGGACTAGATGACCCTCATGTTCCCTTCCAACTCAACAATTCTAATATTTTTAAGAAATACTTTGTCCAGTTGTCTGGACTGGGGTGATCTGTTATATGTGATAAACAGATCGGAGAAAGAGAGAGAGAGAGAAATGAGACCAGCCACCACAGTTGCAGCTGCCCATATATGAATACTGGTCACATTAGGATATTCTGTGCCTTATGAATCACACAAGGTTGCACCCTAATACCATAAATCTGAAGCTGCATCAATAAAATATCCCCCGGTAGCCATAAAACACTCTGCATAGATGTCTTTGTCAGGTCAAGCACATTTTTGGCATAAGGACAACTTTTGAATTTATCCTTCAGAGGGTAAATGTGGGAGAGGCATTATAAGAAATTGGATTTAGCAAGCAAACTTATTTGTAGTTTTACATGGAAATAAATTCACACACACACACACACACACACACACACACACCCCCTATATTCTCTTCTTTTCAGTTGTCTGGCAAAGTACACAAAATATTCCACATTTCCAGCATGGACTCAAATCTGTCTCCCTCCCTCTCTCTCCGAAAATCTTGAAGCGTTGCTTCAAATCCCTAAATCACATAAGGCATATTTTTAATATATTGTACTAGGGATAACCTTTTCAATAGCACTGGAAATCCCCAAGTACCCTATCTAGGTGTATGCAGATAGATGGCTTCCATATGAATAGATTTTTCTTCACTGTTTTTCATTCTATTGTATATAGCAGTTGCGTATGCTTTTCATAATGAAGGGCTTCTCTTAATAACTTTGCATTTATTTTGTTTCTTTCTCTTTTATTTTTTTTAAGAAAGCAGATGTGATGAAGTGCAGGAGAACTAGCAGTTTAATAAAACACACTTGTCCTCCCTCAGATCTCACAGTAAACTAGTTTAGATAGCGTTCCGATGGTGAAAGTTCCATTCTTTCTTCTGCCGCTGATAAATGACATTTTCCCCATCTTGGGATATCTGAGTGCGGTGCATATATGTCATTGTTGGGAATCTAGCTTTGCAGAGATAAAGACAAAGGATTCTTGACTCTTAAAAAGGAGCGTTATACAAACAAATGTTCTTAACTGATAAGACTGTAAAAGTGCTAAGTGAGGAAATCTTTCTACCAGTGCTTAAATGTTTCTTTCATTCTTACACAGACACAGCTCACGACACAAGAACTCCAAATCGCCTTTGCCCCTATGGTAGTGAAGATCTTTCTCTCTCTCTCTTTTAATAATAATAAAAAAATCACCTTTAATTTGTTTACTACCTTTCTATATTACTATAGAAGAGGTGTTTTACAGCAAGAAAATACACAGCAAAGAACACACGCCATATAATAATCCAATCTAATACAAAAAGTCATAATAAAACATAACTTTAAAATAGAACAACTTATATCAAATAAAGAAAAGATTCAGTCATCTATGAGAATATAATAATACACAATAAAATTAACTCTCTAAACATCAGCAAATGATAATTAAACAGAAATGGCACTTCACACGATGTTATGGTACTTCAAAATCTGCCCTGGGGTGCCAACTTGAATAAAATATTGGGTGGGGGGCAGGTAAGCTTCGCCCAACATTATTGATCACAAGATGTGGTGCATGCACAACATTTGAATCACAGTGCTCATCAACTTTGGGGGGCCTGGCCCCTTCAAATATTTTACTGGGGTGGCAAAGTGACCTCAGCCCCTAGCAGTTGGCTCCTATGATCTGCCCCAGTCATTCTTCTCCTCACCATGGGCAGCTCAAGGCATTTTACTGCTTGTGGTGAAGGCAAGATGGCGTCCTATCCCCATTCCATGTAAAGAACCAATCAGGATGGTAGTTGAAATGTATTTCAAGACTTGTGACATTGGGAGCAGCAGATATCAGGGGCTGGGCAGAGGAGGAGGAGGGGTGGAGATTGCCTCCCCATCCTGACCCTTCCAGGGAGGAGTATATATTTACAGCAGGGGATTGCGGGAGGTCACAGATGAGGGGGAAAGCTGGGAAATTGTGTAAGAGTCAGAGCAGCAGCTGGCTGACACATTGTCATTAGAAAGCATTCCAGACCCACCATCTCCCAGAACCTGGTGAGCATTAAAAGTAGGAGAGCAAAGAGCTCAAAGGCAGAGGGCACTTAGTGGCACCCATAGAGGAGATGATGAGGATGATGAATGAGGAAGTGGGAGAGACAGGGGCAGAGGTGGAGCTAGTTACTCTGGTACCCGGAGCGGCACACATGCTGTGCATCTGAGAGCAGGGCTAGCCACCCGTGGGGGCGTTGCTCATGGCGAGCGTCCCAGGGGAGCACCGCAAGCAGCAAGCATCCCAGGGGGGTGGCACGGTGATTCACCCCCTCTCAGGGATGACACCTGGGGCGTACTGCCCTCACCACACTCCCCCTCCTCCACCAGTGGATGAGGGTTGGAGATTCACTTGGGACAATGACATTATCCAAGAAGCTGGGTTCTATAGCTTCTCTGTGTAATGTTTGAAATAAAAAAGGGCTGTAAGAAACTTTTCCCTGTCTTTATATTTGCCTGGGCAACCAGCCGGGGGCTGCTGACAGCAGACTAGCTGAGGAAAAGGAAAAGAGGAGGGGGCAAAGGAGAGAAAAAGAGAGAAACTTGAGGCACCACTTTAGCTAATGGGGCCTCCTGCTGCTGCCGTGCCGCCAGAGCACGATTTCTGTTCTCATCCTGAAGCAAAGTTCTTAACCCGAGGTACTATTTCTGGGTTAGCGGAGTCTGTAACCCGAGGTACCACTGTAGTCACTTCATCCACTCCAACATAACACCCAACAAAACCACTTTCTATAAACCAACATATTATTCAATCCCCAAATCCATATATCACTGTTTCATTTCCTTTTTCATACCAAAAGTCTATGAGAGGTTTCCAGTCCTTAGTAAACAATGATTTTAGATGGGAGCCTGGGATTGAACCAGGACCCTCATGGCAAGGATTGAACCCGAGTATCTCCAGAAAACATGTGTCAAGAACTCACAGAGAAGGACCAGTTCACACTGCAGCCCAGCTTTTCCCCAAGCAGGTGCCCTCCATATGTTTTGGATACCAAGTCCCACTACCCTGGCCATTGGTCATGCTTGCTGGAGCTGTTGGGAGTAGCAGGTCCCTAGCATTTGGAGGAAACCAGAATGTGGTGGGCTGCCATAGGCTATCTGTGTGAAGGATGGGAGAGGTTCTTCTGCCATATGCTATTTCAGACATCAGAGACCCAGCAGAATGTATGAGCTAGCGTATACTTTATGGGGATATAGAAGGAAATTTTGCAAAACACACTTCAAAGAGAGGGGCTTATTTTCCTTCTATTCCCTCAGTATTTCCATTAACTCTAAAGCAATGACATCACAACAAACCCAAGTTGCCAAGACTATATATATATATATATATTCTCGCATGGTTACATTCTCTACAAATTATAGCTCTCGGAATATAAATCAGAATAATTGTTTAAATCAGAGTGACTGTTGAAACTGATTTACAGAGATCAAATCAAAAATGTAATAATTCTTGTGGTCTCACTAATGCCCAGAGCACCAAATATTTCTAAAAATTTGGGTTGTCAGTTATATATAGTGTTTACATTAGCATGCTGCTCGAACAGAGAAAATATATATTTTAAGATGAAAATGTGAATCCGGGGTTACAAGTATGTTTCTGAAACAGCTAAGTCATCTTGTTTCAAGTAAAACCAGATGTTTGCTTAAAGTGAAAGCCCATCATTTCTTTTAATTACATTCATTGGTTAGGCCACCAGGAATATCCATATGTGCACACAATGATCCGATTAAAATCAAAGACTTCACAATGGAGAACGCAATCAACCACCGAATGACCACCATTAAGATATACAGTGCACTGATTCTGGGTTCTACCACGCAGCACTGCTAATTTCCCCCACAGCAAACCATTCAGAAATGATAACATTGACCCAGGCAACTGGTTTGTGACCTTTTTTGGATATGTCTTCTCCACTTTCTGCCTGATTATCATTCAAATATAGCCATCTTCGGATGTTCTCCTCTTGGACACATGGTCACCATCATCTTCCATGTGTTGAGAAGAGAACTGCTTCCCCAGGGGACCCCAATGTACTCATCTAGGCTCCCTGCGAGATTTAGATTCATGATCTTCCTGGGTTCTAGACTGAATGAGAAGCCAACAGAAGTTCAAAAGAATCTCTGCTACAGAAGTTCTATTCCCAACATGTGGAAAGCAATGAAGCTGGCAACAGGAACTTGGCAGGAGAGACAGGAGTCTCATCCCTGTTCTCCCCCTCATTGTATGGGGCTTGAATGGCTGGAGAGGGTTTATATGAATATTCAGCATACTGCTTGATACTTTGCAGCTGTGACCCAACCCTTATTGACCAGAGGGCTTATGCTGGTAAATAATGTTACTCAGTATATTTGAGGTATAGGTTTTGAAGCTCAGGCTTTTGGGAAATGTACAATTCTGTTTATCTTTGCCTTGTCGAAACCTGTTAGGATCTCATACTCCAGACTGTGTGGAAGCAAGTTCCATCTTGCTTGTACAAGTCCAGTACGTTTCCGAGCACTATTCAAAGTGTTGGTGCTGACCTTTAAAGCCCTAAACGGCCTCGGCCCAGTATACCTGAAGGAGCATCTCCACCCCCATCATTCTGCCCGGACACTGAGGTCCAGCTCTGAGAGCCTTCTGGCGGTTCCCTCACTGTGAGAAGCAAGGTTACAGGGAACCAGGCAGAGGGCCTTCTCGGTAGTGGCACCCACCCTGTGGAATGCCCTCCCATCAGATGTCCAGAAAATAAACAACTATTTGACTTTTATAAGACATCTGAAGGCAGCCCTGTTTATGGAAGTTTTTAAGGTTTGCTGTTTTGTTGTGTTGTTGTTGTTGTTGTTGTTGTTGTTGTTGTTGTCGTCGTCATTATCATCATCATCACCACAAGTCTAGAAAGTGTACTTTCAGAAATGAAGTACCACTCTAACTCCAACTTAACTATCTGCCTCACTCAATGACTCACATGGAAAAGTGTGAGATGGGGAGAGATTTTTAGATGATGCCTTAGTTTTAGAGTAAGTATACCTGGCAATTCCCTGTCAGATTTAGCAGAGAACAAAATATCTTCCCACCTAGGATGAATTCATAAATATGTGAGCAGTGGGAGACATGATCATGTCAGATATTAGAAACCTTCCTCCAATTGATTAGTCTAGAGGTCGTAGGATGAATCATGTCTCACTACACCAGGTTTATGCCCACATATGACCTGTTGGCAACACTACTAATGAAAACGTGATATATACCCAGTCAACTTTTTTTATTATTAATGGCATTATTATTATTATTATTACTATTATTAACACTATCTCTAAGCCACTCTTTATCAGTTAAGACCCGTGCGTGGTTTACAACATATACAATAAAGCAATACAATTCAATATATCATTAAAATTATAATTAAAAATCACACCATACCAGTAAAACAGATGGACCTAATCGATTACAGATGGTCTTACCAAGCCCACTTCTCCCAAAATCCTGGGAAAGGAGGTGTATTCTTAGGCAGTGCTAAAAGGATACCAGTTCTTCACTATAGTTCTAAACAGAGATTTTGGAAGCAAAATCCAGTTGATATGACCCCAATCATAAAATGGCTGTGCCCCCCCCCCCCATTTATGTGATTTTTCACCTGTGCCCCCCTTGGAATATCCCAGGGCCCCCTGGGTGCCATTTGACCCCCGGATTGGGAAACACTGATCTAAAAATAAAGAAGCATTTTGATTATGACACTACACCAATCTTCTCCTCTCCCCACCACCCCAGTATATCAGGAACTCCAGATGGACAGGAAAGCACAAGCAACGTCAAGGTTGACGTGTCATCGCACCGTAACTTCACAAGAAGGAGCCATTAGCTACCCATCCACTGTTTTGCAGGGTTGTACATTTTGCAGCTGTTTGCCTTGCCATCAGATGGAGCCCGGCTGGTCCATTCATCCCACCACCAACTGTGATGTTCACCTGAGAGGAAGCCTGATGAGTTAACCATTTCTCCTCTCCTACACTCCCCACCCCCACCCCACCCCTTCCAGGTCTAAAACAAAGCAGGCTAAAAACCGAAAACGGACAACAGAGAAAGTGTCCCAAAGAACCATTTTGTTTTTCTTCAGACACTGTCAAAAGTAGGGGCAAGAGGAACGCAAGCTCTCTTTATTTATTACTGAACAATTAACTTCCACAGCGCTGTGGCCTCCTGGTAATGGACTTGTAATTAAACTAGAGTATGATTTATTGAAGTCAGGAGGGATCTCTCTCTAAAAATAGGCCTGCTTTAGTGTTCGTAACCCCCACCTCTTTCCCTCCCAAAGGGCAGTAAGTTAATAACTTTGCTGAATGAGATGACAAGATCTTCGACTTCCTTACAACAACTGCTTGAACTCCTCAGCACTCCAGGTTATACTGAAAAGTGGGTATGGCAGCTAGTGTGAAATCAACACATCCAATTTTACACAATATACAGAACCAATTCCAAAACTGCTCTCTCCCCTCCCTCCCACAAATGACTGAATATAATATTCAAGGATCCACCCATACCCAAAGGCGGATCCATGTGTGACAGCTCTTGGAGAGAGCCAGTGTTGTGTAGTGGTTAAGAGCAGTAGACTCGTAATCTGGTGAACTGGGTTCGCGTCTCCGCTCCTCCACATGCAGCTGCTGGGTGACCTTGGGCTAGTCACACTTCTTTGAAGTCTCTCAGCCTCACTCACCTCACAGAGTGTTTGTTGTGGGGGAGGAAGAGAAAGGAGAATGTTAGCCGCTTTGAGACTCCTTCGGGTAGTGATAAAGCAGGATATCAAATCCAAACTCCTCCTCCTCCTCCTCCTCCTCCTCCTCCTCCTCCTCCTCCTCCTCTTCTTCTTCTTCTTCTTCTTCTTCTTCTTCTGGGTCCCACATCCACATCCACTCCCATCCCCCACCCCATTCACACAGTAGGTTCACCCTTGCCTGTATTCAGGGTATAATAGGATTTAATAACTATTAGGCATGAGTGACCTGTTTGCCAACTTCCAATTTAATAGTGGAAAAAACATGTCTAGATAGCCATGAACTTTCTATAGTTGCATGAAACCCCTGGTCGCCACCACATCTTGTCCTACTCGCGGGTGGCACTGTGGTCTAAACCATTGAGCCTCTTGGGCTTGCCGATCAGAAGGTCAGCGGTTTGAATCCCTGTGACAGGGTGAGCTCCCATTGCTCTGTCCCAGCTCCTGCCAACCTAGCAGTACGAAAGCAGACCCATGCAAGTAGATAAATAGGTACCACTGCAGTGGGAAGGTAAACAGCGTTTTCATGCGCTCTGGTTTCCGTCACGGTGTCCCGTTGCACCAGAAGTGGTTTAGTCATGCTGGCCACATGACCCGGAAAGCTGTCTGTGGACAAATGCCAGCTCCCTTGGCCTGAAAGCGAGATGAGTGCTGCACCCCATAGTCACCTTTGACTGGACTTAACCGTCCAGGGGTCCTTTACCTTTTTGTCCTAATGAATAAGGTTGTTGCCAAAACTGCCAAAATTTGACAGCTTTAAGAGAGCAACTGGGGGAAATGGAAGCTTCCCATTACCCCATTGCCCTTATTAATCCACAGCAAAAGGCTTTTCTAATAAAACCTCTAAATCTGAAAAAGAGCTGTTAGGAAAAAAGACTAAATTGCTTTCTAAAATGCATAAACTAATATTAGAATGGCATACGAAAGACAAACAGTTCAAATCAGTTATGATACACTGGGCGAGGGACTTTGGACATAATATACAACTTGCAGCATGGGAGAGGTTTCGGAACTTGGATTTAAAGTTTGCAGCATGTTATACTCTGAAACATAATTGTTTGAAAATGATGTATCGCTGGAACCTTACCCCTAGAAAATTAGCTAAAATGTATAAAGCAAGGTCAAATGCATGCTGGAAATGTAAGGAAAAAGAAGACACCTTTTATCACATAATAATAATAATAATAATAATAATAATAATAATAATTTATTTTTACCCTGACCTCCCCAGCCAAGACCGGGCTCAGGGTGGCTAACAACCAACAATAAAAACAAGTTCATTAAAATACAATTTAAAAGATTAAGATACATTAAAACATTAGGATGCAGTCTCTTCATAGGAGGAGAAAGGAAAAAGAAAGAGGGGGAGGGAATCAAACTGATTCTAAACCAAAGGCCAGGCAGAACAACTCTGTCTTACAGGCCCTGCGGAAAGAAATCAGATCCCGCAGGGCCCTGGTCTCATGAGGCAGAACATTCCACCAGGCCGGAGCCAGTGTTGAGAAGGCCCTGGCTCTGGGTGAGGCTAATCTAACTTGTGGCAGACCTGTAAAGTAGTAAAAGAATTTTGGGAAATGATATATAATAAACTGAAAAAAATGTTTAAAATAGCATTTTCTTTTTTAAAAAACCAAAAAAACCCTGAAGCTTTTCTCATAGGACTTCTAAGTGCTGAAATACCAAGGGACCAGTAGAGACTATTTATGTATGTGACCACTGTTGCCCGGATGTTACTAGCCCAGAGATGGAAAGAAGACACAGTCCCTACCAGAGAAGAATGACAGATTCAATTGATAAACTATGCTGAAATGGCAAAAATGACTGGAAGAATTAGGAATCAGGAAGACCAAAATTTTAATAAGGAATGGGGGGGAAATATATAGTTTATCTTAAAAATCATGGAATGATACTTGTAGTTGAGTGTTGGACTATGGTTGTAATGGAGATCTAATGGAACTAGATTAATAGAGAAGATGCAAGAGGAAAAAAGTTAACATAAGGACCCACAAAGAGGACGAAGGAAGTCCATGGGAAATTATGGAATTCTCTTTTTGTTTTGGTAGTTTGACAACTGTTTGTAAATTTCAAAAACTGAAAATTAAATTTATTTATTTATTTATTTATTCATTTATTTAATCTATAGCCAATCTAGCCAGCTAGATATTTATTTTTTAAGTCATTGTATTGTAGTGGCCAGAGCATCAGGGTTGTAGTGGGAGAGATCAGGGTTCAAGTGCCTTCTCAGACATGAAGATCACCTTGACCCAGTCACTGTTTATGGTACAATCCTGAATACTCTTCCCCATTCAACCATAATATTTTCAGTGAGACTCGAAAAGAAGCTGTGTACTTTCTTAAATATTCCTCGCTAACTCTCAGTTCTGAAGTGTACAGTATATCCAAACAGCTAACCCCAAGAGAGAGAGAGAGAGAGAGAGAGAGAGAGAGAGAGAGAGAGAGAAGGAAGTACTTATCTTCCAAGGGATATTACCCCAGTCTGAAACTGTGGTGAAACATACAGAAAGGTCAGAGGGAAAATTGCTGTAAAGTTGTTTATCTGCAACACAGGACTCTCCCGGTGGGGTTTTGTACTAGGCTTAGCTGGTTCCAATCAAGCAGTTACTAGTGGATGGAAGGCTGAGAAGCAAGCTGCTGATTTGCTAACACTGAAAGAACTAGAAATAATTTAATTCCTAAGTGAGTGTAAACCACAGTGATTCATACATACTCGCTTCTGGTTTGCGGTCTCCGTTCTGGAGAAAATCCATCTTTTTCCCCCTTCAATGACAATAGAGACAGAAGGTCCACTGATTCATAATACTAACAACATGAGACCTAGCAACTTTTCAGCTGGAATTGATTTTGATAGCTTGGAAAACATTGATCTTTGGGATGGAATAGGGAGGGGGGATGGGAGAAATAAGATCCCAAGAAATGTGTTGGATGGAAGTCAAATGTAAAGCAGCTTTTCGAACTGTTACACAAATAGCCATTATTCAGAATTGCTGTTCGTTCTTTCCTTGGAGAAACTAACTGGGAGAAGCTAACACAGCAAGAATTAATCATAATAATAATATAAATCAAGCTGCTAGATCTTGTAGGGAGAAGTACTGGAATCTTAACAACATTTCCCCCCCGAGATCTCATATATAGTTAGTTGGATGGAGGCAGGCAAACTCATAATACATTTTTGCCGCAATACAATAATAAGTGATTTACAACAAGACAATCCACAGGTGCCGTAAGCCACTTAAGATATCTTACAGCCCCTGATAGCCACAGCCCTAAGTTGTTTAAAGCACAAGAACTTTCCATTAAGTAGCTGGTGGGATGCAGCCAACACGTAAAGGCTGCTCAGCAATCCCTTTAATAGGAGTGGAACTTTTGATCAGTCATAGGATACCGATTTAGTCGTAGCATTTTGTAACCTGCACTTCAGCCGAAAGACTCCTAGAGCAGCTTACATTGGCCACAGATTTACACACAACACAAAAATGGGGAAAGGGACAGAGAGGCTTATTGAACAGCTGGGTTCAACTGCAGCACAAATTGGTTTTGCAGAGGAAGCCAAATGGTCCAAAGTCACCGAGAGAGCAGCCTCGGATCAGAATGAGAGGGATCCAAATGGATTCACTGAAAAGCTTCAAGAGATCACAGGGTGTGGGGTCACGAAAGGACCATTTGCGGACCTCTGTGATAATAGTTACACTCAGTTCAGATAGGATAGAAGTGTTGGCAGCTGGGAGTATTGAGTGATTTTGAGACAGTGGCATTAATTGCCAATGACGGAATCCCAGTACAGTAGTACCTCGGGTTACATACGCTTCAGGTTACAGACTCCGCTAACCCAGAAATATTACCTCGAGTTAAGAACTTTGCTTCAGGATGAGAACAGAAATCGTGCTCCGGCGGCACAGCAGCAGAAGGCCCCATTAGCTAAAGTGATGCTTCAGGTTAAGAACAGTTTCATGTTAAGAACAGACCTCCAGAACGAATTAAGTTCTTAACCTGAGGTACCACTGTATAGGTTCCAGCGAGTAAAAGGTAAAGGACCCCTGGATGGTTTAGTCCAGTGAAAGGCAACTATGGGATTGCAGCGCTCATCTTGCTTTCAGGCCGAGGGAGCCGGCGTTTGTCCACAGACAGCTTTCCGGGTCATGTGGCCAGCATGACTAAACCGCTTCTGGCACAACGGAACACCGTGACGGAAACCAGAGCACACAGAAATGCCATTTACCTTCCCATTGCATAGGTACCTATTTATCTACTTGCACTGGCGTGCTTTCGAACTTCTAGGTTGGCAGCTAGGACAGCAACGGGAGCTCACCCCATCACGGGGATTCGAACTGCTGACCTTCTGATTGGCAAGCCCAAGAAGCTCAATGGTTTAGACCACAGTGCCACCCGCATCCCTGTTGAGGCTGGTGACTGCTGGTACTGATGGGGCAGAAGGTTGGGAGGCCAACAGTAGATGAAGCCAGAGTCAATGACAGGGAGGGTCAAATTAATTCTAATTTTGTAACAGAAAAGTGGCTAACTAACTGTGCAATTCTGTCTGAAACATGGCTACTAATTGGGCTCCTTCCATCACAAGTATGTGTAGGACTGAGTTCAATAGGACTTACTCCCAGCTGAGTATGCACAGGATTGTATGCACACAAGCGTACAGTTCAACTATCTGTGTACATACTATACAGATTGTACACTCATTGAACATTACACGTGAATAACCGCACAAGCATACAGCTCAACTGAACGTAATGTGTGAACGCCTCTAAGAAAAATATGAATAGTCCTAGAATTTGCAGCACAGAGGGGAGTCTTTCTAGTTCTTCTTTTTCTTCCGCGACACTGCCATTGAACTCTTACAGTAAACGAAAACCTTGAAGAAACTCTTGTTACAAGCCTGTAACATTCATGTTTATTTCTGTTCCGAGTACCGAAATCCGTATAACCTAAAAGTTTCCTGTCAGGACTGTAACCCTTAATGGCCCAATAAATGCACCAGAGCATCTTGTTTTGGATTTGGCACATTGCAGATACCCATTATCACCTTGTGGCTCCTCAGAATATATTGTTGTGCCTTCCCTGTTTCACTCCAGGGGCTGAGAAAATGGATTTTAAAAGGATCTACATCATTTCTACATCATTTCTATTGAAATCTATGGGAGTTGGATGTAGGAGGCAGAATACAGGCCATAAACTTTTACCACAAGCATCTGGGCACAATTTTCTTTTAACAAACAGAATTCAGAGTTTGTATAACAGCTGCTGTGGTAACTAGGAGGACTTTATAGCAGCCTTTTTTATGCTGTGCTAGCAATAACCACCTACTTTTATAGGGAAAGTGTAGTCATTTCCAGCTGGTGACCTTCGTGTGCTGGACACCTGTCCAATAGGAATTGGACTGGAACCCTCAGCACATTTGAATCAAGGGAGGGAAGACTGTCATCAAGGTAACAGCTTTTATTTTGGAACTCGGAAGTGACCTCTAAATCTATTTGTTCCAGGATAACATCATTTTCCGATAAACCTTGGCTTCTCTACTGGGATTCACTACTAAGCTCTACAGCTTCAAATCTAGGGGAAATGGTTTGGGTTTACGATAGTAACTTGTATAACACTGCGAGATGGGTGGGGTGGGACCCCACAGGAATCTCCTCTTTAATGAGGAGACATTGAGCTTACAGATGACATAAGTTTGCTGTCCCATTTCCGCAGAGATGCGCAAGCCAAAACAAATGATCTTGGAGGTACACAGTTAATAAAGTTGAGAATCAACACTGGGAGGAAGAAAAAAAATAAACTCTGCAGGCATAAGAAAGATCAAATCTCAAGAAGCGCCAACAACTGCTCTTTCTTTTCTTTTCTTTCTTGTAATTGAAGTCGGAAAGGTCCAACATTTTGTGTATCTTGGTGGCACTGCAAACAAAACAGGTGGAACGGATGAAGAGATTAAAACCAGGAGACCAAAAGCCAGCCACACCTTTGCGAGTGAAAAGTCAGCCTGGAGGAACAGACTTTCCCCCTCCAAACTAAACTGTGAGTGTTTAATAGAGATGTAAAACCTTTCCTTTTATATAGTGCTAAAACTTGAAGACTTATTAAGCCTTTGCTTTTTAAACCCCGAGGTTTCCTTTAAAAATAGCCAAAAAAACAAAACGACCATATTCCATTGCCAGAAATATTTTTTTAGGGGTGAAGAAGCAGTGATGGCTGCACCATCACACATCCTGGTTCTCAATTCAACCTACATTTACAGTGCAAAGCTGCCTCGGATCAAACTCTACACGGGTTGCCTAGATCGTAAATTATTTAGAGGAATTGTTTATAATGTATAGGTAAAGGTAAAGGGACCCCTGACAGTTAAGTCCAGTCGCGAACGACTCCGGGTTGTGGCGCTCATCTCACTTTACTGGCCAAGGTAGCTGACATTTGTACGCAGTTTTTCTGGGTCATGTGGCCAGCATGACTAAGCTGCTTCTGGCACAACGGAACACTGAAATCAGAGCAGCGCATGGAAACACTGTTTACCTTCCCACCAGAGCGGTACCTATTAATCTACTTGCACTTTTTGGCATGCTTTCGAACTGCTAAGTTGACAGGAACTGGGATCGAGCAATGGGAGCTCACCCCGTCATGGGGATTCAAACCTCCAACCTCTTGATTGGCAAGCCCAAGAGGCTCAGTGGTTTAGACCACAGCGCCACCCGTGTCCCCAATGTATATGTAGTAAAGAACATAATACTGCAGTATATTGTAAGAAATTCAACTCAGTGCACATTTAAACATGAATCTACCTAATTCACACTTTCAAAATAAAAATAAAAATACATGAACTGAAAAACAGGCATCCTTTGAAATTTTCAGTTCCCCGAATTTTGCAATGCAGTTCTCTAGCCGAGTAGTACATACAGAAATGCACGCACTAGGGTAAATTGTGTGTAAAAATACATAAGATAATAAAAACAACAAAATGTATCATTTATTTATTTGGGCAATTGAGATACTGCTTAATTAGAATCGTCTCTAAGCTGTGAATAAGGAATACAATACAATTAAAATTAATCCAAGTAAGTTTTGCATGTGCTCATGAAGTTTTTTAAAAAACAAAAAATACTGTCCAAAAATTGCATTTAAATTGTACACATTTCCAACAGAAAATATGCATTTTGCTATACATTTTCCCTCAAAACACACAATTTACACATATTATCTCCCGAAAATATGCCATTTCATATGCTTTTCTGTTCATTTCCCCCAAATAAACATTTTTTGTGAATGTTGTTGTCAGGGAACTGCCATCGGGGCTAGAAGCGGAGGGAAGGCTCCAGAGGGATGCCAGAGAGGGTCCCAGTAGGGAGAGAGGCAGCCCATCTGCTGGGGAAGGAAATCAGCGTAACACCAGTGGAGAAGGGGGGCAGATGGGGGAATCGGAGAGGAGGCTCCAAGACTCCTCGCCAGAGACCAGCGGAGAGAGTACGGGTACTCCGCTGCCCACACCCTCCCTGCGCAGAAGACTTCCGCGCAAGGAGAGTAGGAGGAGACTTGGCGTCAAACAACTTTTATGCTGGAAAAGGTTCAAGAAACGCCCACTGACGGATTCTGCCAGCGACTGAGACGGTCACGATGCTGGAGGCTGTTCAGTCAGAAAGGGTTTAACCAGGTAACCTCGCCAGCAGTGGCGGCAACTTACGCACGAGCAACCCCTAAATCCATTACAGTTGTTCTTGCAAAAATGTGCATTTTTGTACATGTTTTTTAAAATGGAGTTGCATCGCAAAATCCAGAGATGTGCACAGTGCCATTGCGAACAGTGTCCAATTCATGCATTAATCCAGGAATTGAAAAACAGCTTGGTTCACATGAACCAAAAGAAATTCTCCTTCATCCTCATGTGCTTGGTCCTCAGTGATTCACTCATTTACAAGTGCATCAGAATTGTTTAGGGATTTTTGACCGCCCTACAACATATTTTTTTAAAAAACTCTCCAAAGTCTGAAAATGGGATTTTTTTGTATCATAAGGTAAAGGTAAAGGGACCCCTGACCAATAGGTCCAGTCGTGGCCGACTCTGGGGTTGCAGTGCTCATCTCGCTCTATTGGCTGAGGGAGCCGGCGTACAGCTTCTGGGTCATGTGGCCAGCATGATTAAGCCGCTTCTGATGAACCAGAGCAGCACACGGAAACGCCGTTTACCTTCCCGCCAGAGCGGTACCTATTTATCTACTTGCATTTTGACGTGCTTTCGAACTGCTAGGTTGGCAGGAGCAGGGACCGAGCAACAGGAGCTCACCCCGTCGCGGGGATTCGAACTGCCAACCTTCTGATCGGCAAGTCCTAGGCTTTGTGGTTTAACCCACAGTGCCAGGAACATAGAAATCTGAGTCAGACCATTGGTCCATGTAGCCCAGTATTGTCAACACTGACTGGCAATGAGTTTCCATAGTTTCAGTCAAGGCTCTCTCCTATCCGTTCCCGAAGATGCTGGCAATTGAACCTGAGATTTCCTGTATGTGAAGCAGATACTCTATCACTCAGCTCAGCCACTCCAAGTGTCCCTATTTATGAGGGACGGTCCCATATTTACAGAAACTGCCCCAGTTTCTGATTTGATCCCACAGTGTCCCATTTTCCTTAGGATGTCCCTATTTTCATCAGAAAAATGTTGGAGGGTATGGAGTTATGCGACCCTTGAGTCAAGGAGATAAGTTACGACACAAATTTTCGAAGACATCTTAAAGCATAGGGAAGGGGTTTTTTTTAATGTTTAATGTTTTGTTATGTTTTTATATATGTGACTAGAGTGGCTGAGGCAATCCAGTCAGATGCCTTTGAAGGTGTCTCGGAAACTACAACTAATCCAGAATGCAGCAGCTAGACTGGTGACTGGCAGTGGCCACGGAGACCATAAAGACCTACATTGGCTCCCAGTAAGTTTCCAAGCACAATTCAAAGTGTTGGTGCTGACCTTTAAAATGCTAAATGGCCTCAGGCCAGTATACATGAAGAAGCGTTTCCACCCCCATTGTTCCCCTTCAAGGGCCTTCTGGCAGTTCCCTCCCTGCGAGAAGTGAGGTTACAGGGAACCAGGCAGAGGGCCTTCTTGGTAGTGGCACCCGCCCTGTGGAACACCCTCCCATCAGATGTCAAGGAAATAAACAACTATCTGACTTTTAGAAGACATCTGAAGGCAGCCCTGTTTAGGGAAGATTTTAATATTTGATGTTTTATCATGTTTTTAATATTCTGTTGGGAGCTGTCCAGTGTGGCTGGGAAAATTATTGTGTTGTTGTTGCTATATAAATATTATGGTTATGATTATGATATGATTGTGATTGAATAGGACGTCCCTATTTTCATCAATGGGACGCGGGTGGCACTGTGGGTAAAACCTCAGTGCCTAGGACTTGCTGATCGCAAGGTCGGCGGTTCAAATCCCCGCGGCGGGGTGAGCTCCCGTCGTTCAGTCCCAGCTCCTGCCCACCTAGCAGTTCGAAAGCACCCCTAAGTGCAAGTAGATAAATAGGTACCGCTTTATAGAGGGGAAGGTAAATGGCATTTCCGTGTGCGGCGCTGGTGCTGGCTCGCCAGCTGCAGCTTCGTCACGCTGGCCACAGAAGTGTCTTCAGACAGCGCCGGCTCCCGGCCTCTTGAGCGAGATGAGCGCGCAACCCTAGAGTCGGACACGACTGGCCCGTATGGGCAGGGGTACTATTACCTTTACCTTTATTTTCATCAGAGAAATGTTGGAGAGTATGCTTAGGTATTGTCCTTCCCACATATGTGGTGTAAATAAAGCCTAATGATAGAAAACATCACTCCAGCACAAAGCAAACTAGGGTATGCATGCAATAGAATGCAGTAATTTTCTCCCTTGCCTCTTGCTTGAACAGGCTTCTGGTTAGGAAGGAGGCCATCTGAAAGCAAATCTGAAAACAGGACAGGCCACACAGAAGGTGGAATGCACTCTCCTATGATGGAAAGGGGGATTAGCAGCAGAAAAGTTGACAAAGTTATAGGCTGCTGCCGTAGAAAACAATTAACCTAAGAGGGGGACATGGGACCCTCTACATTGCCGATGAGAGGAACATTTAGTTCTTGTCAAAACGAGAAATTGCATATAAAATGAGGAGGTATGATTTCCTACACCTGCAAAAAAATGTCATTAAAAATACTTTGCCTCTTTTCCTTGGTGTATACTGATGAATGCCTGTTTTTACTGGATGAGGTCTTTGATGAGACAGAGTGGGTGGGCAGGCAGTGTTTTCCAATAGTATAACTTATTCTATGAACAAAAATTAGTAATAATAATGCTGCAATCTTCAGTTTAAACTTACACCTTCACTACATTGGCTCGGAAATATTCCCCTCTATATCACTTTTAGACAACACGTCAACACAAGTAAAATTTCATAACTTGCTCCCCAGCTTGACAATGATGCATCAGTTATGTTGCCAATCAGCAACTCGAAACTTTCCCCCTTTGCGAAAAAGCAATTATTCTGAAACTACCAGCAAAGTGAGAACCTTCCACGTAGAAAAAGAAAGGAAGGAAAGAGGGGGGAAGCCATGCAGGGAAGGTGTGAATTCTTATTCTTCAGCATGTCAGGGGTCTTTTTTTGCCAAAGCTAATATGCCGAGATCCATATGATTTAAGTGATTGGCAATTCTGGAATGTAACATTCAGGAAAGCAAGCAGGAGGGAACGTCCTGGAGATTTTGCCAAGTAGAGGAATGTCGATTTTGCTCAGGGCGAGTTTGACCAAGGTGGGGTAATAGGGTGGGTATGGGGATATAGCTCCCCCACAAAAAAAGAAAAAGGGTTCAGAAGAGAATTCAGCCACACTCCCCAAAGGACCTATGCTGGAGTTTTCACAGTAACTTAAGCATTCCAATAGAAGAGTCAAGATGGGCTATATTCCATTTGCAGCAGAAGGAGGGAATCTTACAGCCCGTGGGATGCGTTCCTTCATGAGGAGCCTTCTGAGTACCACATGCCATTGGTGAGTGGGATACAAAATTTGGCGTATCCCACTCACCATGACCGTAAAATTGTACAGTACAATTGTACAGTATCTACACTCCAGCAGTGGTGCATGGGGTCTTAGGTGGAGACACATTGTGCTCCTTCTGGGGCAGTCTGTCCATCTTTGGTCCCCATCTTGCACTCAGCTCTCATCAGTGACTCCTAGAAGCTGACAGCATGTGATAACTGCCCCACCCCAGGAAATGAATTCAATTGGCCAGCTAAACCAGGTGAGGGTAGCCAATGGGTCTCAAAATGGGTGAGTTAGTTGCTTCCCCCTGCATGCAAAGACAGGCTGCGGTGGATTGAGCGGATGAGACCAATATTGGGTCCAATGGTCAAGAAGGTAGAATATTAAATCAGCCCAAGGCCTGGTTAAAGAGGAACATTTTTGCCTGGCACCTAAACATATATAGTGAAAGCACCATGAGAACCTCTCTGGGGAGAGTGTTCCACCAACAGGGAGCCACTATAGAGAAGGCCCGTTCTCACGTTGCCACCCCTCTGGACCTTTCGTGGAAGAGGCACACAAAGATGGGCCTCCAATGATGATTGCAGGGTCCAGGTCAGTTCATATGGAGAGAGGCGGTCCTTCAGGTATTGCAGTCCTGAGCTGTTTGTGCTTTAATTACTTCTAATGATCTCTGGCATGAAACCAGTAATGAGTCTCCGTCAGCTTTATGTAAGTTTATTTACAAAGAAAAAAATACATCCACAGCAAAGCTTCCCACCATCTCTTGGCTCAGTCTGACTCAGAATCCTTCCCCCAACAGGAAGGACGCCAGAACCGTGCCTTTCTCCTTCCCCCCTTCCGCAACTCTCTGAGCCTCTCCAATCTCCTAGTACTGAAAGTCTGGCCTTCCCCCTCTCCATTCTCAGTGGACTGTCTCTGTCTCTCGCTTACCTGTTGGCAGGCCGGCTTCGCTCTGGCTGTCTTCCAACTCTCCTTCTCCCTGAGAGCTAACGGGGAAGGAGGGGCCCCGAGCTGTCTTCTCTAAGACAGACAGCTCTCGGCTAAAGAGTCATCTCCTTGCTCAGTTTCTGAGGCTGACCCTTCTGCTGTGCCCTGGAGTGGCATGTTCCTGACATTACAGTGGTACCTTGGGTTACAGACACTTCAGGTTACAGATGCTTCAGGTTACAGACTCCGCTTACCCATAAATAGTACCTCAGGTTAAGAACTTTGTTTCGGGATGAGAACAGAAATCATGCGGCAGCAGGAGGCCCCATTAGCTAAAGTGGTACCTCAGGTTAAGAACAGTTTCAGGTTAAGAACAGACCTCCAGAACGAATTAAGTTCTTAACCCAAGGTACCACTGTACTCACCTCAAGCCAATGGGACAGGGCAAGCTATGAACCTAAATAAACAGGAACCTAGGAAGCTGCCCTTTGCCAAGTTGGACCATTGATCCCTCTAGCCCAGTACTTCCTGACTTGCAGTGGTTCTCCAGGTTTTCAGAAAGGGTTCTCTCTATTCCTTTCTGGAGCACCAGGGACTGAACCTGGGACCTTCTGCATGCAATGTAGATGTTCCACCGCTGAGCTACAGGCATTCCCCATGGATGAACCTGAAGAAATAAATATCCATGTAATGGAGAACTGGTGAATTCACAAAGAATGGGACACGCCTGATTGCCAGAGGTCACTAATTCATCTGACTATATACCAAATAGTTTCAGCAAGTACTGAAATGAATAAGCACCAGCTAACACGGAAACCTATGCCAGTGATATATGATGGATTTTTCCACAGCCAGTCCCTTCTTATTAAAGATGTAAATCACTATGGAGTAATTTACAAAAGTGCAAAAAAAAGGGAAAGGCACATAGTTTATAAGGTGGACATTTCTAGAAAGAAAGAAAGAAAGAAAGAAAGAAAGAAAGAAAGAAAGAAAGAAAGAAAGAAAGAAAGAAAAGTACAGTGGTACCTCAGTTTTTGAACCTCTCGGAAGTCGAACATTTCGGTTTTCCAACACCAAAAACCCGGAAGTAAATGCTTCCGTTTTCAAACACGCCTCAGAAGTTGAACAGCTTCCACTGAGGTGTTGTTTTTTTTCTTCCAATTTTCTCTATTAAATTTGCAGACTGTCTCGGTTTTTTAATTTTCCGGAACTCGAATGGATTACGTTCGAAAACCGAGATACCACTGTATTGTCATTTTTATCACATCATTCAGCATCATATGTGCCAGTGGGGTTCCCCATTCCTACTCAGGAGGCAAAGCTGTAAAATAGATTTTCAAACTGTCATGTCCAGAGATGCGGACAGAAATTTATTTTAGTGTGATATGCAAAGGGCCAAACTAATCACGTGGTCTGCCACTGAGTGAAATATTTTTCTTTCACAAATAGCCAATATTTGGGGGGTGGGGGGAATACTAATGCAGATTGGAACCCTGTTTGGGCCTATAACCCTTCCCACTCCTATGGTCACAATCTGGATCAGGTTGGGGGGCATACCTATTATTTTAATGGAAAGAAAACTTTTCACCATGCAACATTTCCCCTCCACCCACAGTTGCCAACCCTGGATCTGGATTAAGACTATGAAAGAGATAAAGCATTAAAAAAAACTTGTTGCCAGTGTCTGGGTCCCAGTCTCACTTTTTGTTGTTGTTTAGTCGTTTAGTCGTGTCCGACTCTTCGTGACCCCATGGACCAGAGCACACCAGGCACTTCTGTCTTCCACTACCTCCCGCAGTTTGGTCAGACTCATGTTTGTAGCTTCGAGAACACTGTCCAACCATCTCGTCCTCTGTCTTCCCCTTCTCCTTGTGCCCTCCATCTTTCCCAGCATCAGGGTCTTTTCCAGGGAGTCTTCTCTTCTCATGAGGTGGCCAAAGTATTGGAGCCTCAGCTTCAGGATCTGTCCTTCCAGTGAGCACTCAGGGCTGATTTCCTTAAGAATGGATAGGTTTGATCTTCTTGCCGTCCATGGGACTCTCAAGAGTCTCCTCCAGCACCAGTCTCACTAGCTATATGGGAATAAAACATCTTGCACATAAAGGCAAACTGCATCAGTAGCATAACATGTGTGTTGATCCTAAGGAAAGATACCCCAATGTAAAAGGGTTGGGCTTAGCCCAGAGTATCCCAGTTGAAATGGTTGATATGAAGTTTGATGTGAAGTTATGTGATGGGCCTTTTGTTACAGATATTAGAGGGAAATGGATTATTGTGATCCCAGAAATCTCTACTCTAGTGCTTATTGCATCACTTCATTTAGGGCCCTGTCTGGAAGTAGAAGCAAGATAAAACTATCCTTTCACTGCACCAGTTTCCAGGCTGGTGAAGCAAAGAACCTGAATCTAGCCCTGTTGAAAGCACTGACAATGGTAAACGAAAATGTAAGATCCTGACTTGGAGTCAAATATGTTACATCATCTCCACCCACACTCCACTTACTGGTCCCTTGATTTCCGTGGAGGGACTTGCTCTTACTGACTTGCAGATTTAATCAACATACAGCCCATTAGCTTCTCTCTCCCTTTGCTCCCCAGCATCCTCAGAGGGACCAATAGCTTGGCTGGCTGGTTGTCTGCAGAGCTATAAATAAATAATAAACACACAAGACGTAACCAGCTGTACTTTTGAATAAATAAGGTATGCTATTCATTGTATCAAATTGTAGCTTTCAACGGAAGTCTCATAAAGTTCAACAAAAAAAGCAGAAGACCTAGTGGATCAGTTCATTCTCTAGTCAGTTCATGCATAAGGTCCATACATGTACAGTGGTATCTCGGGTTACATACGCTTCAGGTTACATATGCTTCAGGTTACAGACTCCGCTAACCCAGAAATAGTGCTTCAGGTTAAGAACTTTGCTTCAGGATGAGAACAGAAATCGTGCTCCGGTGGCACGGTGGCAGCGGGAGGCCCCATTAGCTAAAGTGGTGCTTCAGGTTAAGAACAGTTTCAGGTTAAGAACTGACCTCCGCAACGAATTAAGTACTTAACCCGAGGTACCACTATATAAGTATTTATTCCACCTGTCTGTTCAAAGAGTCCAATAATCCACATGAAGGGTTGTTACAGTTCCACAGAATCCTTTCACAGAGTCTAAGACAAGGATTTCCAGAATATTAACCTTGTTTCGCCATCCTAGGCTTCATCAGTAGAAAAGGCTCTAGGTAACGCAAATAAATACAATATCATAATCTCACACATTTTTACAGCAAAATTAATATAAAAAACCATAAACAATTGTACATACCATAAGCAATATTACAGGATAGTGGATCTTATCGCATAGTAGTGGTTGCAAAAGCCAGCATTCCAACTAGTCCCAGCAGGCAATCTTCGGTGACAGAGCACATGTTTCTCATGCAGAATGTCCCAGATCCAGTGCCTGCCTTGCATCGCCAGTTAAAACGAATCAGGTCGCAGGAGACAGCAGTGACCTCTGCCCACAACCCTGAAGGGCCACAGCCAATCAGAGCAGGAGATGCTGTGCTAGGAGCATATAGTCTGTGCTGGTATAAGGCAACTTCCAGTGCTCCTAGTGAAAGGAGAGATTTCTCCAAATGCAGTCCTAGAAGGGAAGAGTTTGTGGATAGGATGACCAGGAGAGCAGGTCCTTTTCTACTTTTAGGACCTCCCTCCTTCCTTTCACAAAATAAAAGAGGATACTAATTTCCCCCCTTCCAAACTAAGAGGCCTTTGGGTGTCCCTAACAGGCTGGCCCTACAATTAGGGGTGGCGAAGAGGAGAGGTGCTTGTGGGATTTTCTGCCTCAGTTGCCAAAATAACTTGGTTGGCCTTGAGTTTGAGGGAGGATTGCCATTTGCTACACTGCCCCAGGCAGCAACATGTCTTGAGCCAGCCACGGTCCCTTTAAAAACCCCTATAAGCAGATGGTGTGCTGGTTTCTTGCTTTGGAGCTGCGGTAGCAGGTGTTGAGAAAGCTCTCCATCCCGCCAGTGCCTGAACGTGGGTCTAGCGCCCTTTAGGGGAAACCACAGCAAAGAGAAATGACTTCAGGTTCTGCCATTTATCAGTGGGAAACGTTCATAAATGCAACTCCTCTCGTGGAACTGATTAATATTTCAAACAAATGAGTCCCACACAAAGGAGAACTTGCTGTTCACAGCGAGGCAATAAATTACGGCAGATTACTCCAGAGACAGGTTTGGGAAATGAACAACACTTGTCTAAGAGGCCTGGGTTGTCTGCATCTAAATGGTTTATATTTACATTTTAAGCGTATCTGAAGCATCAACCCCCAGACCATTTCAGTTTATTAGCACCGAAGTTCTGGTTATTGTTTTCTTGGACTGAAGCCTTTTGCATTCTTAGCTGAGGCCCGTTTCACTTGCGCACACACACACAAAGAAACAGAGAAAGGCTCTGTGGACATGCTCCCATCAAACAACAAAGAGATGAAACAAGACAGAAGGGAGGGGAGGCAAGAGAGATACACTCTTAGGAATGGTTCAGACATACCAACACAAACAAGCAGCCCTCACCAGTGTTTCCAACTGATCCCACACATATACATGCATGTGGAAGACACATGTAATATGCAAACTGGATATAATATGTATATAAATCAGCAGCAAAGCAGTGAGCCACAAAAATCTGAGTTGCCCCAAAAGAGTTACCGGTAATGAAATAAAGCAGATTTCCATCTCGCAAATGGTCCCTGTTCTTTAAACTGGCCGGGCTCCCACAACATACAGATGTACTTCTGTTGGTCCTCTTGATTCCACGGCTGATGAATATCCACGAGATTCCAAAGTTTAGCAGGAAGCATCTTTGCCACCTGCCTCCTCTATCATTCCAACAACTTGACAGGGAGAAAATGGAAAACCAGTCCAAAGCAGTTGCAGGCAACTGAATTTAGCAAACAGAGCTTGCATCTTAAAATCTATGTGGCCATTTTTGTATGTGTAGAATGGAACAATATATTTGGCGTTATTATCAGCAGCGTGCCGGGACTCAAAGTGGCTTACAGATAAAAATAAAAACTACTAAAAGGATGGAAAAACCATTGATGGAATTAAAACTATATGCATATTTAAAATCTTTTTTAAACCCTGCCAATAATTGCAATAAAAACAGAACGGCACCAGCCCTTTCAACAAAAGCAGTCAGTTGCCCAAAGCAAGTGAAGAAAGTCTTCACCTGCTGGTGGAAGGACAACAAGGAGGGAGCCAGTCTAGTTTTCTCAGGAAGCAGTTCCAAAGTTTGGGAGCAGCCACTGAGAAGGCCCTCTCCCATGTCCTCACTAAGAGTGCCTATGAAGGTGGTGGGAATGAGAGAAGGAGCACACCCCCCCCCCCAAAAAAAAGATCTCAGAACCTGAGCAGGTTTGTATGAAGGACTGATGGGAATATGGTCTTTCATAAGAAGACTATTCACACATTCAGCGGCCAGGTTGCTCACCGGAGCAAGACGGTTTGAGCATATTACACAGATCCTGGTCCAACTGCACTGGCTACCAATTAATTTCTGGGCCCAATTCAAAGTGCTGGGTTTGACCTATAAAGCCTTAAATGGCTCATGACCGCAATACCTCAAGGATCGCTTCCTTCCATATGAACCTACTCAAATCCTGAGATC